GGAAGCTGACATTTCAGAGAAACATGTGCTGCTTCCTTTGTACAACTTACAACCCACAAGATCCATTTCATCTTTGCCCACCTATAAATTATAGGACATCTTTCATCACTGGTGTAGTCCTCAGAGTAGGCATAAGAGCCTTGGGGAGTACAGTGGGTGCCATCCTTGGGAAGATCTGCTGTGCAAGGCAGAGCAAGGTGGATGGGAGATGTAGGCACAAGATGCAAGATTTCAGGCTGCCTTGAGGAGACTTTCCCAAGGAACTATGCCCAGCAAGCAAACTGGCTACACTCCAAAACATCCTTTTTCAGGCTGCTTGCAAAATTAGAGCAGCTTACAACTCCAGCTTCCCAGGAAAACAAAAAACATCAGGGATCTTCTCCTCACTTCTGAAAAAAGAGAGGCCCTTCATTTCCTCCCCTCCCCTCATCCAGCATCGTCTCCGTGTGGAAAAGAAAAAGGAAAAAAAAAAAGCAGGGGGAGTCTTATTTTAATCAGCCAGAACCACAACAATTCAAACCAATGGGTGTAACACAACTGAATCCATATCTAATTATCTGTTGTATGAAAGGATTGGTATAAATTTTTGGGGTTGATTTTTCTTTGGGGAAGGGATAGAGGGAATTTTCTTAGGCAACTAAAACTGTTTGGATTCCTCAGCTTTCTTCACAATGTAAAGGTTTCCTCTACTGATTCCCATGTTTTGGACGTATTTAGTAGCAATGGAAACATCAATTGGAGGATTATTTACATAAATGATTAGAAATACATGCAAATGCTGGACTCTATGATTGTTATTTTAAACTTCTATTTGTTTGTTTGTTTGCATGATTCATAAAGTTGTCACTTACCAGGAATTACTTCAATTATGTGGCATAACACCTCCCTCACAAGCTTTAATATTTAAGATTGCATTTTTACTCATGACCATTTGGTTAGATCCTGAATATTGTTAATAAGAAAGGGATTCCTCTATATTAAGAAACCTTAGGCTGCAATTTTATGCACATTTACCTTAGAGTATACTTCAATGAATTCAGTATTATTTCTGAGAAGACACAGACAGAATTGCACTAATAGGATCACAATTTTAAAAGAGCTCAGTAGAATAAAAGAGAAGCAAAGATGTCTAAGTCAGGCTATTTGTTAATAAATTTTAATAGATTTTTAAATCGTGGGAGGATGGAGTTGTTTGCAAAAAAGAATTAGACTGTGATATATTTTGCAAAATATAAAATGTATTATTACATTTTCTTTAAACATTGTTTGATGCTTGTAGCCCAATTTGTACTCTGAATCAAGTAGCAATTTTGATTCTTTTTCAAGATTTAGTTTTTTGACAACAAAAATTGAACTTCTTATCATGAAGAGATCTTATCCCTTCATGAGATTATTTTTAAAGGGAAAAAATAACAACAAAACCCTGTGTGAGTAACAATAGCTCAAGAGAAATGTTCACCTACGGAGAGAAGATATTTGTGTGAACAATGTTATATAGAAGGAAGATACTTAGATATGATAATGTCCAAATATAGCAACAGAAAGCTCTAGAAGCATTTCAAGGATTTTAGTAGTTCTGCTAAAACCAACATCAGTGGAATCACCACTCACTAGAATAGAAAGCTGCGGTATAAATCAAATAAATAAATAGCAAGATTGATTCTTTATACCACAGTGCAAATTTCATTTTTAAAAAGAGGACACGTTCTTCCAAATCAGGAATAAAAAGCTAGGATGCTCTAGTGAGAAATTTTGTTGTGCACCCTCACACAACTACACTACCTTCACACAACTACATGGGATTGTTCATCATTCCTTTGTGCCAGATTGTAGCTTAACCTGCATTAGTTTAGAGGTAAAAATGACATTAAGATCAACTTCTATTTTATCCCCTTATTCTACAAAGGAGAACTAATTTTCCCCAGAATGTGTTTCAACAAAAGAATTAAATACAAGAAGAAAAAATATTGAAAAGGGGAGACGGTAGATGCATAGACAGAAGCACAACAACAACAAAGGATATCTGGCTCCTTTTTCATTCCATGCATTTCCAGACATCAGTAGGTTAACATCCAGATAAACAGGTAAAATGTGTTTAAAGCATGTTTAGTTCTGTATTACGCTGTGGCCTATGACTCCAATCCAGAGCAGTGCTAGAGAAACAGAACTACAGCATGTCTAGTGTCATACTCCAGAATGCAGAGCAACTAGTGTGCAGGCTTGAACACCCCATTTCCCTGCAGGGGTATATACTGGACAACCCATCTGCCCCGGCCATTTAGGATACGATGCATTGTTCTTTCTTGAGCAGGCTTCTTCACTCTTGATGTAGGAAATATACATTTAGAAATCTAGTCCTGCATTCCAGTTCCACTGGCTTGATAGGATGAATTAAATTTATCATCTATGCATTTTCCCCCTCACTGGAACAAAACATTGTTTGAACGTTCCTACAGTTTTGACATCCTAATGATCTTGAACACATTTACTTAAAAATAAATTCCTCTGAAATAGCACGATCAAGATGATACAAATCTACTCAGAAGTAAAGCCCACTGAAATACATAACATTTACTCCTCGGTAAACATGACCAGGATTTCTCCCTCAATTAGGATTGTGCTATGATTCCTTGTCTCCCCTTAACTCCAACAACCTGTAGGCTCAACAGAGGCAAATGAGAATCATATGCAAAACTGTATATCAATAGCACTTGACACCCTACATACTGAACCAGATTTATAAGACATATACATATCAAAGCTGAGAACATTCATAAACAGTGTCAAACTTTTACATATCTGGTGGGAAAAATCCCTTATGCTGAATGATGAACCGGAAAGAGATTTTGTAGAATATTTATGAGAGTCAAAAACTTCCAATTTCAAGGCATCAGTGGTATGGATGATTAAAGGATATAGTCCACACAATGGCAAATGCTTTGTCTGCAATTCTTTTTACAGCAGCACATCTTGTACTTACCAATCACAAGAAATCACTTAAGATGCTGAAGACAACATAAAAGAATGAAAACATTATGAAGAATTCTTCTACAGAAAAACCAACTTAGGCAAAAGGTAGGTGAATGTGTGGAAAATACCTGACATGAGCTATGAATCAGGCAGTCTTTATGTATGATTGGAATCTGCTATGTATCTGGAGATGTATATTTATTTATTTTATGTTTCAAAAGAGTTTAAAACATAAAAACACATTCAAAGGAATATCAGAAATCAATGTTTTCCTTATTCAGAGTAAAATAAATTGATTTCCAAACTGGCTCTTTCATTTGTAAGTCTCTTATATATCCTGTTCAGGGCTTTGGCTACAGAGCTGAAAATCAATCCATAAATTTTAGAAAACTGACATCCTGCCTCTTTGCACATCTTCCATTCATTTCATGTCAGGTAGGACAGGCATAGCTCAACTTTCTCCTGGATTGTGCTAAATATGTTTTTAGTATAACATCATAATCCTATGAATATTTATCCAAAATTTTATCCAATTGTGTTCAAGGCAGCTTACTTGTAGGATAGTGTATGCAGGATTGCAACCTAAGTAATAAACTGATGAAAACTGCAGTAATCTTCTTGGCAAAATAATAATAATAACAGCAACAATTGTGGTGAAATATAATAGAAAAACAAAATGATTCTGAAAGTTGGGTATCTCTCTCTCTCTCTCTCTCTCTCTTTGCAGAGAATTAGTGGGACAGTGATTCCCTCCAACCCTCAAATATTAAATATAGGCTGTAATTATTGAAGAGCAATTTTTAAAATTTGGGTAATTTTTTGTTTGCTTGTATCACAAGCTTTTCTTGTATGAAAAGATGAACGCATGCCATTCTTGAGCAGAAAGATTTTGGGGCAAATTCTAAAATTAATAAAAATATCACCCCTGTATTGCAAAAATCATTCCCAAAGAGAAAGATATTTTTTTTTAAAAAATTATCCTTTTATTCCCTTCCAAAAAGACAGGTTTTTAAAACTAGACTTTTAGCTTTACGTAAACCTACCTACAGATTTTGCAGAGAGAAAATCCTTCAGTTCATCTAAAAATGAAAAGGACAATAAATACATTCTATAAACATATGTAATACTGCAGTTTTTTCCAGATGGGAATTCAAAAATAAGATTAGAAAGATTAAGCTTCAGGAACACAAGCCAATGTACATGTGGACTCACACCTGTTCAGATACATATATAAAAATATTTCCATTCATTCTTCCCTGAACATGCATGAGTATATGAAACTCCTTTCCAGCCTGGAGGGTGTCAGATTGACTCTTAAATGAAATGGGTTTTTATATATATATATGAGGGTTTAACACAGGGGTGTGTGTTAAATGTTGGGGGTTTTGTGACATCACCAGGTTAAAGTACCCAATCAGCTTGCACTCTGGAGAAAATTATTTAGTGGGGTGTTTCCTATAATATACTGTACTCAAGTCTCTTAAAGAAAGAAGCAGGAAAAAAAGGTGGCCATGCCATGGATTTTGGTTTGTGTCTGGGATGATTGAAAACCCTGCTTTTTGCGTTTTAGGGATGATTCTTTGCTCATCGGTTTGCTTGTTTTTAAAGATCGAACTGCAAATGCAGAAGAGCTTGATTAAGAGATGGGGGAGATAATTTCGTCGGTGCCCTTCCCGGGAAGATTTGCTTCCAAGAAGAAAAGATAGGAGGAGGAGGAGGAAAAATAACTGAGAGAAGACGTTTTTCTCCTTTGGCCTTCTCTGGGGATGTTTAGAGAGTGGAGAAAGAAAGCGCTGGGAAAGGAAAAGGCGGTTCTGGATCCTCAAGAGATGCATGTGAAAGGAAAATTTCTCACTCGACCAGTGGTTGATTTGGGGGGTAGATGGGAAATGGGGAGAGGTTGGAGGAAGAACCCTTCTTGCTAGCTCCCCACTGGCGGCCTTCCAGTCTACCTTTTATTTTTATTTTTTTACGAAAACATGTTTCTGACCTGCGGGATGGCTCCAGCCGCTGCATCCGCTGCCACTTCCATGGATTACAATGGAGATTTCCAAGCTGGTTATCAGGAAATCGACGGCATCAATTTGGGTTACCTGCAGATTAACGGCACGAGGATGTTTGCTCTGACCCAGGTCTTCAGCGACCTTTTAAAGGACATCCCTCGGGCCGCCGTGAGCAAAAAAATGGAAAGCCTCAAGATCCAGAGTCGCCGGTGCGACTTGAAGGAGCTGCGCACTCTCAAAGCCATCCAGTCGGTGCCAATGCGCGCCGTCAAGTGTTCCCTCATCTCCAAGACCGATCTGGAGGCCCTCTGCACCTCCTGCAAGGCCTTAACCCCCAGGAGGAGAAAGAGGAAGAGGAAAGTCAAGAGGAGGGAAGCCGAGGACTTGTTCGATCGGCCCCGGTTACTCCCGGCGTACGGAGGATCCGACCACGGCGCCTTTCGTGCCAGCTTGGGTGCCGGCTGCGCCAAGCGCGAAGCGCTCCTCGAGGCTCCGTTCGCTAGGAGCTACGAGAAAGCGGCGCCGCCTGCCAAAAGCTACAGCCGGAACGGTAGAGGGCACCTCCTGGCCGGCGTCCTCAGCGCTTACCCCGGGGACTTGCAATTCCTGCACTCGGCGGTCAGGGCGCGCGGAACCAGTCAACCGCCTGGCGATCCGGAGGTCGGGCGCCCTAAGCGCTCCACTTGCGGGTGCCTGGCCAAGAAGGGTCGCTCAGCCTCTACGGCCGGCTCCAAAAGGCAAGGCACGTCGGCTGGCTATTCCAGCGATTCGGATTCCAGCGGGGCGTCAAGCCCGGCAAGTTCCAGCGATTCTTCGGAAGATGAGGACGACGACGACGAGGAGGAGGAGGACGAATCTTCCTGCAGCAGCGAAGACGGCAGCTCCTCCGGTTCAGAAAGTAGTTCCCTATGCAGTGGCGACTCGGTGCAAAGCACGCGGTACAGACAGGCCGCCCTTCCCCGTATCCCCCCCCAAACTGCATCTTCCCAAGCCCTCCCCGGCGTGGCCAAAGCATTGCGCCCCGACCCGAACCTGCTCTTTTGGGCCAGGACGTTGCGCGCCTCCACTTTGGAAAGTTTCAAGCCGGTTCCTACCCGTACGCCCAAGGAGCCTCCGCCGGAGAGACCGGAGACTCGGATAAAGCCCGAGGCGAGGCATGCTCCCGTTTCCCCAGCCCGTCCGAGCAGCCCTAGCGAAGGACCGCAGCCAAAGAACGGAGGCGTCGGGGACGCGTCGGAGTCGGGTCTCCGGGAAGGCGAAGAGGCCGACTTCCTGAGCCCTACGGACGGTCTCCGGGCCGGTGAGCAGGACAAGACTGGGGAAGCCGCGCTCCAGCAAACCTCCGAGGAAGGGTCGAGCAGAGGGGCCCATTTCGACAGGCTTATCAGGCAGTCGAAACTGTGGTGCTACGCCAAAGGGTTCAACGTGGATGGGAAAAGCTTGCGCAGAGCCGACCAGGCCAAAGGGTGTTCCCCCACTTCCAAAGCCGGCCTCCTCAGCCTGGGCAACAGACCGCTGAAGGGGGGCAGCGATTCGGAAAGGAGCGCCAAGCGAAGTCGAGTCGAACAGGCCAAGGGGAGGCCCCCCAAGATTCCAAGGAAGAAGACCCCAAAGGGGAGCACCCTGCCTTGTAAACGCTTGCTCAACACCAGTCCTGCGCCTGAAAGGAATCCATTTACTTTGATGGGCACTTTTCCATGTACGCCCGCCTTAGTCGTGGGTTCGGACGGGGATCTGTGTCCTGCGTCCTCCCTGTGCGTCAAAGACTCGTGCGCCCTCTCCAAAATGCACCCACTTTGGACCTGGCAGCTGGGGGGCAATGCCATCCCCGTGCCCCCCAGCCTGAAATTCCGGGGATACGGTTTAGAAGACTTCTAGGTGGAAGATTTAAAGTGGTTTATGTGCAACAGTTTGTCTTTTGTGGAGGGAACCCTGTGGGTGGGAAAGGACAAATAGAATATATTCTGTCAAGAAAAAGAAATCTGGTCTTGCAATCTTAAGTATATTTACTTGGAAATAACCTTTTTGGTTTCAGTGGCCTTTAATTCCAAGTAAGTTAGATAATAGAAGTTGGTGATCTTTAAACTCAGTTGCCCCAAAGTAAGACTGGCTGAAATAGATAGTTTTTTTTTTTAAAATAGAAAAAGTGCAATCAAATACATAATTACTCAGAAGGAAATGTGGGACTTAATTATGTGTAAGTGGCTGTAAGTTTGAAGCCTAAATGTTTTAAAAAGAAGAATGGACTTTTGATTTCCAAATGGCTCAAATTTTTTTTTAAGAACCCTCAAGTCCTCCATCCCATGGAATTTCTGACATTCCTTTACTTTTAAAAGAGCAATGGCTTTATTTTAAAGAGCCTTTCCAATCAGCAATTCTTAATAAATTGCACACCTTTCAAAATATAGAAATTTAAATCTTACTTGATAACAGGCCTCCAATGTATAGAGAGCCAAAATAAATGATTAAAAAGAAATGTTGGTAGTAAGAGAAAGTAAGAGACTTGAAAATAAAATCCAGTATAGATATTTAACTTTTATTCTTTGGTTGGGGACACAATATTTTTGTTTATGTTGCACATTTATGCTGTAGGGAGCTGTAATAACAGTAGTTAAAAAAAAAAAAGATACAGGCAGTTTGGAGAAAATTTGGTCTCCTTTCCTTTTAACATGCAATGGTTTGTTCCATGCTGTGAAATTTGGAAGAGCTGTGGGGGTGTGTTGTAGGGAATGAGAAAGTTTCTGAGCAAGGCTCCCCTCCCCCTCTCAAGTGAAAGACCCTTCTCATCTCTCCCTCCCCCCTTGGCAAAGTTAAAAGTATGCTCCCTTCCCAACCCCCAACTTTCTTCCTTAATTTGGAAGAGAAATGGAATGGCCTTTCAACTACAGCACATTAAACTCATCAAAGCATCACTCCCCTCCCCCTTCCATTCACTTCCTGATTAAAACTTAAGCAAAGCAAATCTGACTATGCCCAATACCAGAACTTTGAGAGGAAGAAAGAAAGGTCACCACAGTAGACTTTTTTCTTTTCTTCCAATAAGGAAAAACAGGGCAAAATTATTTTAAACAAAGGTACAAGTATTTTACTGGATAAAACCCTTATCTTGGCTGCATGAGGAAAAAAAAAAGTTGTTTAAATCTGTTGCATCTTTTCAAGCAGTTGTTTCTTGGTTAATAGAACCCTGACATTAGTAGCCCAAGGTAACATTCTGTTTATTTAAACATTTGCTGGAAAGAATAAATTGGATCCAGGGGCAAATTTGAATGAAACACAGATGGACAATTTGATCTCCAAAGTGAAATGTAGAAAAGGGATTCTTTTGCCTTTGCCAGAGAAAACTGACCTCTTTCCCTCATACAAACAGCTCTTCTTCATTGTTTCACGTGTGATATACCTCTTTGTCTTCCAAGGTTTCCCTGCCTCACCAAACTCAAATCCAAAATGAAATCTTCATCTCCAAGAGTAGAAAATCCCTATGATTGCAAGAGAGACAGACATCTCTTCAGTTTCAAAATCTTATCTCAGGGAATAAGTAAGAGCTCAGTTACCCCTAAGTAGATCTGGAGCTGCTACACAATCCATGAAGACCATAGGCAAAAACATTGTTTAAAAGTGCAAAACAAATTTAATTAGGAGGTAAGTCCTTCTGGAATTACTGGACCTTAAACCCTTAAGTCTAAATGATTTTATCTGTAAGTAAGCTGTGCATCAGCTGGCCTTACTTCCAACTGTGCAGTCAAACAGTAACATATTTAGGAATCAGATACCAGTATTTGTCTCCGTCTATCTTTTATTAAAACAGTCTTCCCCAAAGAAAGGGACAAAATCTTATTGGGGATGGCTGTGGAGAAATGAATTGATTGAAATGCCAGATTTTATCTAGGAAGAAATTCTGACACTTTGAATTTTACAAATTGATTTCTAAGTGCAACAATGAAATAAACCAAATTTGGAATGTATAGAAAAATATATATGATTTAAAAAATAAGAGTGTAAGACTATAATAGCAAGAATCCCACAGTGCAATTTCTGGTATTCCCCATCTTGGTTAAATATACAGTATTTAAATTTGCAGCTAATTTATTACGTTCTGTTGTAGGCTATGGTTGTATTCTCACCTACTTGGGAGTAAGAGGTATTGATCTCAAAGGAACCTTATTTCTGAATAAACCTGCTTAGGACTGTTGAGTTAGTTTTTTTCTCCTTATAAGCCTGCATTTTTGTTAAATGGAAGATGTTTTATTGTCAGAAATTATTATCAGTGAAGAAAGGGAGATATTTTTGTTTTTCTTTTCAAAATTGAGACACTGCAGTGTCCTTGTGCAGTTCCCATTCATTGTGTTTATGCAGAAGAGCTGCCCATTGAATTGTGTGAGTCCCAAATATTTGAAAAGCAACAAAGAAAGAATGATAAAACCTGGTTGTTCCTGGGGGCATTACATAACTTAAGGGTTTTGTGTGAAAAGAGCTGAATTAAGAATTTCCTGGCTGTCACCTCTCTCTTGCGTGTAACTGGTTCTGAGCATTTCTTTGGTATGAATTAGTTTTGCTAAAATATAGCAAGAATATAGAAAGCAGAAAAGGGAAGAGGGATTTTTTTTTTAAAACTAGATCATTGTCTTTGGAGTTCTTTCCTGATGGCTTAGAAAAAGGACCAAGGAAGAACATGAAAGAAAGCAAAGGGGAAAGGAAAATTTTTGCAGTTCTCTTCACTTTCTTTAAACAAAACCCTCCAAAACTCACTCAGCCCAGTCATATTATTTTAGTGTTCAAAATATGAGTCCAACTTTGCTTAGGATAAAGGAGGGGGTCCCTGTGTTTGCCAAGCAGGATGCGGCATTAGTTAGCTGCACGCCGACTATTCTTTTCAAAGGAATGTGGAATTCGATGGAAGCCAAATATTGACACACCCCTTCAGTTTCTGTCCTTAACTTCTCACTGTGCTTTGCAAATAGGAGCCACACAAATAAAGAGAAAAAGGAGATTTAAAATGATGTATAAAGAATTGGTTAAAATGGGGAAGGGGGAATGCTTCCAACCTTACATTTGCACAGTAATCCAGTTTGTGTATTCAGGAACAGGTCCGAAGGACCCATCTGTTGTAGGGTATGGTGAAGCCTGCTGAGGAGAGGTGTGGGTATGTGTGTGTGGGTGTGTATGAGAGAGAAAGAGAGATTGCACCCACATGGGAGCAAGGCATGTTTGCTCCCTCCCCAATACAAACCAAACTTGCATAGCTTTTCTGCAGACAGTGCTGTGTTGTATGTACAGCTTTCTGGTTCTCTGGATCAGGGCTTAATGACAAGGTTGCTCACCCCCCTCCTTCTTTACATAAAATAAACTTAATATTCTTATTAAAATATTTATTAGAAAACTAGCAAATAAAAAAGAGGCAGAGACAATTGGCAGGAAAAATCCTTTTTATATATTAGGCCAGATTACCTAACCTCTAGTTCTAATCAAACCCACTTATCCAGCTTCCCACATTCATTCTGTTCTGTGTAAAAGCATGTTCTCTCACACAAACCTCTGGCAAATCACTGGGAGCTACATAAGCCCACAGTAAGGCTGTTGCATAACTCCCAGTCATTTCAGTAGAGATCCTTCTCTTATGCGCTGAAATGCTTATAGACAGTTGCTATTTCATAGTTCTTAAAAGTGATATCCAGGAATGTATAGATGCAAACATGGTGTAGTGGTTTTCACACTTGTTTCTACATGTCAGGCAGAGCCATGTGTGTCACACAAATACATATATTAGGAATAGATGTAAAACTATCTTAGTATGCATGTGTGTGCAAATTAATGTGCAAAAAGGCATTTTCAGACAATGTGTGCACATAATTATCGTAAGATACTCAGATGAGTTAGTCTCACTGAATTTAGGGACTGATGTACCTATAAACACGCTGCAGAATTGCAGTGTTGCTTTTTTAGTATTTTATGACAAACCCTGATTGATTGCAGTATAGGATACAGTCTAACTCTAAAGATTGAGGATGTATATGCCCTAGTCCTTGTGTGGTTTTCATGCATATGACTGCCCCTATGCATTGCCAGGAAGGAAAGAGTTACATAGGGACCGAGACATACAGAATATTCCACCAATAAATGTTCCCTCCACTGAAATTTATGTGAGAATAGGCTTTGCAGGTAATAAAGTTCTGTATTTTGAGTGGAATGGAGCTGCTTTATGTATGAGATTTGTGTGGGTGTATGTGTGTAAATCATTGTGATGTATCAGCTTAGATTGCATTCACAATTGATGTTCAGAGTGTCCATAGGAGTATTTTCACACACGATACAGAATGTGCATTTGATCTTGTAAGTATAAGGCAAATACAATCCCATATTTTTTAGCATGCATTCTGGATTTAAATCTGGCTCCCTCTTTCTATTTTACATTCACAGTGTTCACATATATGTGCAAGAGAGACTCTAGGGAACTTCAGGGTTGTGTATGAAAACCCTTTGTCTCTAATGTCATGTTTTGATATTGCATTCAAAATACTCAGGGCTACTACTTCATAGAATGTAACATAGAAACACCCAGATTATTAAATGTAATCAGAATATGTGACAATTACATTGTGGTATTGGAAAAAAATGCAGTATCCTCTCCCTATAAAAAGGTGAATTTACTAATCTGCCAATTGTTGCCTTTACCATGGTGGAAACTCTTTATCTTGGACCTTATGTACCAGAAGTGAACTATTGGCATGTTTTTCAAAATCTTTTGGGTAGTCAAATTCAACTGATGCCAAGAAAACTACAACAACCAGGTTTTGATCTGCTTTCATGGTACCTCAGATCTGTCATCTATACAGGAATGACAGTTTTTCTACAAACATACCATTTAAGGTACGGAGGGAAAG